AAAAAATAATATATATATAAACATAAAAATATATTTAAAATAAAAAAAAGAAAAGAAAAGATGTAATAAAGAAAATGAAAAAAAAAAAGAGAGAGAAATGAAAAATTCAATTGGATATTTTCCAAAAGGTATATCCAGCGATGATAACTGTTTTTGGCTCCAGTTTTCATAGTTTCTTTCTCTCTCTATCTCTCCCCCTCTCCCTCTTTCTTTCTCTCTCTTCAACATAGAATTTTTTTATTTTCTGAATAAATAAATAAATAAACAAATAAATAAATAATAAAATTTATAAGATGGAAAAGCCTGATGAGTTTTTTTTTTATTGTGTTAACGTGAAAAGTACGTAAAAATTTTTTAATTATTTTTTTATTTTTTTTTACAGTGTTGCCTAATTAATTGTTTTTTTTTTTCGTAACGGTTGGTTTAAGAGATTGTGTGTAAGAAAAAAAAAACTTCTCGAAAGTTCTATTTTTACCGTTAAATAAATGGTTTAATATTTTAAAGAAGAAGAAGAAAAAAAATTTACAACGCAAATCATTTGTATAATAAGAAAAAAAAAAAAAAAAAAGTTTTAAAAAGTTTTTTAAACGAATGATTTAAAATATGAGATGCTGGAAGGAATAAGGAAGATGAGTAAGAGGGGATGGGGAAGGGGGGAATAAAGAAGAAAGAAGAAAAAGGTCAGGCTGAATGAACAGGAAAATGGAAAGTGTCAAAGGCGATGAGAAAATCCCTCAAACGTCTCGATTAAAAAGACAAAATTGCCATCATTTTATATTTTAAATGTTTTTTTTTTTTGTTAGAATATATCTTGCGTGAAAGAAAAGTGGAAGCAGAAAAAAAAAGTGTAAGAAGAATAGAAAAAAAACGAGGAACGGTATGAAATCCGATACGTTCGTTTTTTCTTTTTTTTTTTTTTTAATTTATAAAATATCGAATAAGTTAAAAAAAAAAAAAATTCGTTTCATTTTTTTTTCTTATCCTCTCGGAAAATTTTAATTATAGCAAAAAAAGGAAAAAAAAGGAAAACCTTAAAAAAAAAAAATTAAACGCAAGTCGGTAACAACAACAACAAAAAAAATTAATTTTAATCATTTTAATTAATTAATAAAATTCTATTTAAAAAAAAAATGAAACTAATTACACGTAATCAAACTTTTTTTTTCTTTTTTTATTATTTATTTACGCTTTACACTTTTCCTTTGAGAAATATCTTTTAGTTTTCTTTATCTCTCTCTCTCTCTCTTTCTCTTTCTTTCTTTTTTTCTTTTTCTTTTTATTAATAATTTTTACATCTTAAAATTTAAATAAATTTTTATGGCATTTAAATTTTCCTTTTTCTTTTTTTTTTTTTTTACCCTAATGAATTGAATAATTCATGCAACGACGAATTTTCTCTTGCAAAAAAAAAAAATTTATTATTCTAAAACCAGAAAAGAAAAAAAAATCGTACAAAATAATAATAATAATAATATTATTAATAATAATAATAATATTATTAATAATAATAATAATATATTAAATATTTTAGGCTTAAAATTTTATCCCCTTTTAACACGAAAAAAAAAAAAAATTAATTTGAGAAAAATAGCGGAAAAAAAAGATAATAATTTATATATATGTGTATGTTTATAAAAAGTTTCAAAAACATCTTCGCGATAAAACGTTTGAAAAATGGCGTCGTCGACATTACGTAAACAAATATGACTAATCGTGAAATTACTAAAGGATTTGTTTTTGATATTATTAGTGGGTCTAAAAAAAAAAAAAGTGATTACGGAAAATGGGATTTACACAGCACGAATCAATACAATCCGAAAGTTAAAATAACAAATTGGTAATTATTATAATAATAATAATAATTTCCTCTTTTTTTTTATTTAATTGTGGCAACGCCGCTCACATAGTTGGAAGATAAATAATATTAATAATAATTTTTTTTTCATCGTTACGAGACAGGTGGTATTACAGAGAAGGTTTTCCTAAAGATTACGACGATGCCATTCATTCAACATATAAAAGATTGGGTCACACAAGTGAAGACGAATCGTTTTGGTCGACGGAAACGAAAAGATCGATGGAAACCGGACGTGGGGACCCTCAATTAATTGCATTTAAAAAATTATCAAAAACCAAAAAACTTTTGAGCTTCTTAAATTATCCAATCACTTTGTAAGTAATAACAAAATCATATTTATAATTTTTTTTTTTTAACTCGACACTCATTTTAACCTTCATTCATTCATTCATTCACTCATTTAATTTTTTTGTTTTTTAATTCACGAGGGAAAAAAATGAGGTAAATTTTTTAATCAGGTTGAAAAATCGTAAATCACTCACTTTTTTTTTTATCGTTTCTTAACCGTACCTTAAAACTTTTATCGATCGATAAATTCAATCAATAAATCAATAAATAAATTTTTTTTTTTTTACGCAAAAGGTCAAAAGATTTTATTGATCGAACGTCATAAAAAAAAATTATTTATTTATTATCAAATAATCTCGTCGTGGTATTTAATTTATTTAAAATATTAACGAGAGCACAATAATAATAACAATAATAATAATAAGCATAAATAGGAGATTTTCAATGTGAAAAGTTTAATGGCAACTTATGAGTAAATTATAGTAATAATAATAATAATAATTACGACACATAAAAGTCTTAAATAATAACAATAATTATAATGAGAGTAAGAAAATGTTTTTTTGAAGAAATTTATACTCGTTCGTTGTTTTTTATTATTATTAATATTACTAATGAAGTTTTTTTTTTTTTTTTTTTTTAAAATTTTATTTTATTTTATGTTTAATAAATTATTTAATAATAAAAAAAATTATTTAAAATGTCGATGAACTTTAATAATAATTTAATAAATAAAATAAAATAAATTAAAATTTTTTTTTTATACCGTTAATGTTTATATTATTATTATTATTATTAGTTTTTACAAGCGCGTTTATATTACAAGTGAGGTTAATTACTTGTTTGTTTTTTTAAAACCCCATTACCGTTTCTTTCTCTCTCTCTCTCTCTCATTTTCTTTCTCTCTTTTTCTTCTTTAGAATTTTTTTTTTACAGTATTTACACACACGAACCAGTAAAAAGTTTTGAAACTGGCATTTGAAAAGATAAAAAACAAAAAAATTTTTTTTTTTTTACAAAAACAAAAGGTTTTTTTATTTTTTGGAAAAAGAGAGAGAGAGAGAGAGAGAGCGTGTGGGGTTGAGGAGGGGGGTGGAGAGAGAGGGGGAAATGGGTAAAAGGATATAAAATTTTATAAAAAAAAAAAAAATTTTACGCTCACCCACGTTTGTAATAACAACTTTGTTTGTTGTAAAACGTCAAAGGAGAGGAAAAGAGAAAGAGGGAGGGGATGAAGAGGGGGAGGAAGGGAGGGGAGGAAAAATAATTAACCCACCGACCTAGATAATTATCCTTTTCGGCTATCATACACCGTTCGTGGGTTTAAAAAAAAGGTAAAAAGGAAAAATTTTTTAAATTTTTTTGGGGTTTTTTTTTTGTTTAAATATACATATTTAAAAATTTTTTTTAACCATCTCTCTCTCTCTCTCTCTTTCTACCACCTCTCCCTTCCCTCCCTCAAAACGGGGAAATTTTTTTTTTATTGTTATAAAGTTTAGCTTAAGGTAAAGTAAAAATAAAAAAAAAAGGTTTACAACCTCACGTTATTGATGGTTTGAGTTATATTCGGTCAACGGATTGGGAGAAGGAAAACGTTTAAAATCCTCTACTGAGATAATAAAAAGCTCAAACAGTCTAAAATCCAATTTAGAAATTTATCTTTTTTGAAATGGGTAAAAACTTTTTAGTAAACTTATTGATTGAACTTCTCGAATTTGACTATTTTCAATTAAGTTTAGTAGAAAATTTTGTAAATTCCAAACATGCTTCTTTGTTTTCTTCTTAAATTATTTTCAATTAATTTTGTACCTGGTTTTACTAGAGACAAGTGTTTCTTTTTTTTTTTTTTGAATGGAAAAAGAGAGAGTTTGATGGCATTCATGGTAAACCTTTTTTTCTTTTTTTTTATATCAATCTACTACTTATCTTTTATTTTATTTTCATCGTCACTATTTTCCCCTTTTTATTTTTTTTTAAAACAATTTCCAAAATCACTTTTTCAAGAATTTTAATTAAGGTTTTATTAGTGTGGGTCAATTTTATTTTTTTTTTGGTTTTACGAGGACGAGGATTTATAAAAAAATTTTTTTTTTTTTTTTGCAATATAAAAATTTACTCGAGTGTGTATAAATTTTTTTTTTTTTTTTTTTTTGGTAATTTTGTCGATAAAAACCCTTCCTTATTCTTTCTTCTTCTTCTTGTTGATAACATTTATTTACTTTTTTTAAAGGATTACGTAGCAAATCGTGGAAGGGAGAAGTGAATAGGGAAAACGGGAGAGGGAGGGGGGTAAAAAGAAAATTTTAAAACGTTGCATAATAGTTCGATATATCGAAGAAACCTTGAGAATAATTTTTTTACTGCTTCTCATAAAAAAAAAAAAATGCTTTCAAAAGACAAGTATTTAAATTTTTTTTGAAATAGATTGATCATCATCATCATCATCATCATCACTATCATTATTATCATTATTATTATTATTATTATTATTATTATTATTATTATTTAAAAAATTTCTAATATTAAATTAAATTAGTAAATCAATAAGTAAACCGAATGTCAAATCACGTCACGATTGACGAATAAAAACAACCACGTTTTTTTTTTTCATAAATTGGCGCAACTGGTTTTTTTTTATTTTCAACGTTAAAAACGAACGGTATTATTAATAATAATAATAAAGATAATAATGATAATAATAATAATAATAATAATAATAATAATAATAATAATAATAATAATAATAAAAATAATAAATTAATACTTTTATTTTTACGATTTTATATTTGCGTCGATTTTTAGTTTTGCCACCGTTTTTTTTTTTTTTTTCATAACATTTTAATATCGTTTCCTTTTTTTTTTTGTAATATCTTTTCATAATTATTTTAATAAATTTTTATCATTATCACGCCTTACTGATTTGTTATGAAACAAACAAACAAGTTTTTTTTTGACTTTGTCATTTTTTTTTGTTTGTAATTTCGGTCACTGCCACGAAAGAGATTTTTAATAAAACCTTTTTTTCCAAATTTTTATTTCATTTCATTTATTTATTTATTTAATAAGGTTTTTAATAAAAAGGAATTTTTTCTGAACTCTCTCTTTCCCCCGAAGAATCGCGAAGAAAAATTGTTCGAGTTATTGTTTTTGTTGTTGTGAAAAACACTTGTGTCAAATTTCACATTTTTTTTTTCTGTCTATTTCACTCGCCATTTTATATAACATACTAGGCGGATTTTATATAATAGTTTTTAAGTGAATGTATAAAAACACTCCTTGACTTTATATAGATTTTAAAAATAATTCGAATAAGTGGATAAAATATATATAAAATTTTTTTGTTTGTTTGTTTTTAAATTAACATCATTATCATCATCATTTTTATTTACACATCAAATAAAATCCCTGATTTATTTATTTATTTATTATTATTACTATTTAAATTTTTTTTAATCGCGTTTTATTTAATTCTAACCCCCCTTTCTCTCCCCCCAGAAAAGTTAGAAGAGATATATCACCGGATGATATTAAAAAAATATTACCAACGTTACCCAAAGAAGAACTTGTTCTTCGTTACAAAACAACGTATCAATCACATTACAAACAAATACAAGTAAATCGTTACGAAGAAAGAAACAACGATAAATGTAATTAAACGTAAAAACAATTATTACTATCATTATTATTTTTTTAAACCTATTTTTTATTTATTTATTTTGGGGACAAATTATTTAATTTCAATTTAATAAAAAAATAATTGATTTTGAAATTTAAAAAAATTAAAAAGATTTTTTTCGGGGGGTGATTGAAAATTGCATAAACAGCAATATTAAGGCGTTTTCAATCAGAAATTTTTTTTTTTCAATTTTCGTCTATTAAATTTATTACTATTATTATTATTAATGACATTTCAATCCTCTTAAACGATCGATAAATAATTATAATAATTATTATTATTATTCGACGGTAATGATATTATTATAAATAAAAACGTAGCGAAGAATCTCACGTCCGAAATATATTAATTAAATAAATAAATTTAATAAATTATTCGTTCGTTGGTTCGTTTTTTATTAATTATGTATACATGAATAAAAAAAAATTAAATAAATCTTATTAAATAAAATAAACGAAAGAAAACTAAAATTATAAGATTTACAAACTTTTTCTTCTTCTCTCTCTCTCTCTCTCTCTCTCTCTTATTATATTTCTCCTTTGAAAAATTTCAACTTGAAGGTTTACTTACTTATTTAATGTCTCGTTGAATAAAATAACATTTCCGGTTATTATTATTATTTTTTTTTTCTTCTCTTTCGAAAAGAAATTAATCTGCGGGGATTAATAATAATAATAATAATAATAAATATTTACATTTACGTATAATTTTAATTATGTATATATAAGATGTCGGAGGAAATCCTTGATTTTTTTTTTTCTCCAAATCGCGTTCCGATATTTTTATTTTATTTTATTTTTTTTATTCTACTTTTAAAAAATGTGATTAACTAAAAGAATCGTAAATAAATAAATAAATAAATAGAACAGGTAGTAAAATATTCTTTAAGATCGTTAAAACGGTAATTAACTAATTTAATCTAAACGTCAGGTCAAGCCACAAGGGATTAAAATTACAGTCTATTATTTTATTCAAGTTTTTTTTTTTTTTTTTGTAAAAGATAGGAAAGGGTGAGGAGGAGGTGGGGGAGAGGAGAGGAGGGAAGGGGGGAGATAGAAAAAGATCGTGAAATAAGAAGAAGAATAAAGAAAAAAAAAAAGTAGAAAAGTGTCGCATAGAACTTCCGAGAACGTGAAAAAAAAAAGAAAACGATGGAGATTCCTCGTTAAGATCTTTCAACAACCGTGAAACTCTTCAAGCGAGCAATAAGCTTAGTATGAGATGAATTCTCGTGATGAAGCAGACGATCCGGGATGTGAAACTCCATGGCAACCGTGTAGAACTTTTCTAGTGTCTCATTTTCTCCAGTTTTCT